CGTGTAATCCATTTATTTCAACAAAGTAACTGTATTCTAAATACCACCTTTTTAAACGGTAACTGTAACGGAATACAGTTACTCATATTTTGTATTTTATATACGTAACGGCGGTACATGTATTCCGTTACTCCCCAACACTGCATATATGTTAGGTAGCTAGAGTGTTATAGTAGCTCTGGGTTATGGAGACCTTAGTTGACCTTTCTCTGCTCTGAGAAATAACCTCTATCACCTCTTGGTTCTGCTGTGTGGCCTCCTCCTGGTAGGACATACCTGAAACACCTCACTTAACCCCACATCTTACGGGGGACATCCTGATCATATGTCGAAGACATCTCAACCAGCTCTTTTAAATGTGGAGGTGCAACTACAATCAACTACAAAAAGATCACATTTCCCTCTTTACTCCTTTTCTATTGTTAACACCTCTTTGATGGTTGAGTTCTTAATTACCACTTTCAATTTGGCTTGAGAAGACATTAAGTAAGCTATTTCATGTTCCCAGGATGCTGGATTGTTTAAGAAGTCTGTGAAATACTACAATAGATTACATTATCAGATTGTCTCCAACAATGGCCTTTTTTTGGTCTAACATTGCGCGAATGTTTGATCTTTGCAGTTCTAAAATCCCGATGTTATTATTTTTGTAAAATTTCCTCAGCTGATCACAACTAGAGGCAGTTACTTGTGTTTTACACACGTTTAATCACCCAGATCAAAACATTCTTGCTTTCAAGTCCTCACCCCCATCTTTGCCTTTGTTGTGGTTGCTGAGTGTTTCTCTCTTCCTTCTCACAATCTGTGTTGTTTCAGCTGGACTTTGTTTTGCTCCAAGGCAGCTGTGGCTGCATCCTTTGCAGCATCCTGGAGTGCAACTAAGATGACTGTGTGAGAGTATAGAGAAAGATTTTAGTGGAAGAACATACATTTGCATCTGGGGCTGCAGACATGGAGAGGTCCAGCGGCAAACGTTTTTGTTGTAGACGGGTGTGCCACAGGGTTCCTGTGGCCCACAGAGAGGAACTGTACCACATCCTGAAGATGACAGGTCCTCTGGTAAGTACTGGGATTGTCATGTGCCATGATCTTTCTTTAACAGACCACGTAGATGGAGATTATCCTTGCTGATGATACAACAGAAGACTGATGACAGTCTTTTTTTTTTTAAAAAAAAAGTTTAAGATGTCAGGAAAACACACTTTCACAGATGTGACAATAAAACTGAAACAATATTTGGCACTTTTTACTTGCTGAATAATGACTGCAAACTGCAGGAAATAAACTTGTCAGGAAATCTGTGTACCACGATAATTAGTTGCAGTATGTAATGGTTTATTTTTAAATTACTTGTCATGTGATACTGGTATCACTCCTGCAACATTTATGGTATTTCTCTTTCTAGCTGCTGTCTCGAATCCTCAATTACATGCTTCCGTTTGTGGTTACAATGTTCTGTGGCCGTCTGGGAAATGACGTGATGGCTGGCTATGGATTAGCTTCTGCTGTAAGTCATCATCTGTATGCTCCGCTGATGTTTGGAAGCTTACTTGGACTAAATGAAGAAGTAATTACGAGGATGCTGATGGAAGAAAAGGAATTGTTACTTAAGTCAGCAAGATAATTGTCTCGTAATCACTCGGCAACAACACTTGTTTGTGATTTAATCTATGCTCAGCACTTGACACTTGCTCTTAAGAATCACTCAAGTTTTGCTTATAATAGTTTGCATTCATTTCAGACAATTAATATTACCACTGCAGCAACAGGATATGGTCTGGGACTGGCATGTGATACTTTGGTCTCTCAGGTCTGTAAAACCAAGTCGACATGATGATATCATACACTGGAATTTTTTGCTTTCCCTTTTTTTTTGCTGCCATCTTTAAAATGTTCATTATCCTGACAGACTTTTGGTGCTAAAAATCTACTCCGGGTGGGCGTGATCCTTCAGCGGGGCATAATCATCCTCTTGTTGTTCTGTCTGCCTTGCTGGGGTCTCCTCATTAATGCTCAGGCCATCCTATTATGTGTGGGCCAGGACCCTGAGGTGGCCAGGTAACTAACAGCAGCAAATATACAGTAATATTATTGCTACAACTAGCATAGATAT